GTTTTTAAATATAAAGTGCTTCATTTGCATATACTTAATCAAGAAATTAACGTAGAATTAATTTTGAATGGAATACGATTCGCACGTAAATATGTAAAATATTAAAATAAATGGAATTCCTGTTTTATAGAACTTTAATAATTGAATAATTAAATAGATTTCGCGATAAAAGTTTTACGGTATTTTGAAAATTAACAATACAAAAATTCTCTCACCTGTCTTACAAAGCTGCTTGAGCTGTCAGATACGCTTCCATCAGATCTTTTGCTTTTTTGCTTTCTTTTAGAGTGTTTAGCGCCGGTCTGAAATATATGAAAATTGATTTTTCAATTTTCACAACTGAACTATGAAAAATTTCTCTTATTACACGCTCTAAACTTCTGATATAGGCTATACAGGGTGATTATAATTAAAGTTCCACTTTGAAATGTCCATAAAATGAAAACTACTGGACAGAATGTTATCAAACTTGGTAATAGTGTACAGGACGTCGTGGGTTTTTATTTCCCGCGAAAAAACAAAATAGTTCAAAAACTCACCATCAACAGAAAAATGGCGCTGTCTGCAATATTGTTAAACGAAATAAGACACGAAGATATCGTTTGAAATGTTCGGTTTTAAACCGCGTTAAAGAGCATGTTCAATGTGGTGTCTACCATTTTTGATATAGCCTATGCAAGTTACATCGCATTACTGTGTTCTCAACAGTAGCTCTTAGCATATCAGGAGTAACCCCACAAACAGTTTCGTTTTAAAACCGATTAAAAAACATTTTAAACGATTGTTTCGTGTCTTATTTCGTTCAATAATATTGCAGACAGCGCCATTTTTCCGTTGGTGGTGACTTTTTGAACTATTTTGTTTCTTCGCGGGAAATAAAAACCCACGACGTCCTGTACACTATTACCAAATTTGATAACATTCCGTCCAGTAGTTTTCATTTTATGGACATTTCAAAGTGGAATTTTAATTATAATCACCCTGTATATTTGTATTTAATAAGTCTGGCTAGGCTAAGTTTTTAAATATTCATCAATTCTGATCAATAATACTAAACTTGTTTTTTATATACAACTTAAAAATAAAAGAGAAAAACCAATGTAAAATATTCAATAATTATCGATTTATATGTTTGTTTTCTTTGTGTTTTTCCCCCTTTTTTTTTGCTTATACTTCTTAATTAAGATTTCGCATTTCTAGAATAGAAACATTTATATAATGAATTATTGTATGAATTTTTTATTTGTTATCGTGGCCCAAATTTTTAATAGAATAAAAAAATTTCATTAAATTATCGTTCATTAAAGTAATTTTTCATTTCTTCAAGAAAATAGCAAACAAATGCCATTTTATACAAATAAAACTTATTCCCGTTTGTAAATAAAATAAAATTGTATTCTGAAACTAAGCAAACCAGAAATGACAAAAATAACAAAAGCAAATTCGATTTAAAATATATATATTACCTAAAAATTAATATAAATGATCAAAAATTCGACGTGGCAGGTATAAGTTCATTAATATATATATACACAACAATACAGGAATTATGTATTGTTGTGTATATATATATTAAGTTTATTCTTTTCAAATAGAAGTTATTACCATACACACATATTTTCTTTCTAGAATATTGTCTTTTATTTAATATGAGAATGATAATAACGATAAACTGCTGTGCTTTTATATTGTGTTAAAAGTCGCTATCAGATATTACCTTGACCTAATGTGTAAAGCTTACTATTTATAGATTTTTAATATAATATTTATTGTTAATTTTTATTAAAATGAGATGATATAGAAATTTGTAGGATGTAAACGATTTTATTCGTTATAAAGACTACACCGTATATATTTTAATAATTCTTTCAAAAGATATATCCTCATTCGGTTGATATAAACTTTCTATTATCTGCATTGTAATAAAAGATTTAGTGTATCAATAATGTAAAGGAAGACCTCATTCAGACAACAATCGAAAGCAAGTATTAAGAAATAAAACCGCATTATTTCTATTTTAATAATTGCTCTTTTTACTCGAATCTTTAATAATAAATACCTAGTTTACTTTTAAATGTATATATTAAGAATTATATTTTAAAATAATTTAAATTAATTAATTTATTTATTAACGCTTAAAATAATATAAATAATTCACAATTCAAATTATTAAAAAAAAATTAAAATTTCGGGTTTGTATAATCACCACATCTGGAAACACCAGCATTATAAGAGAACAGGTACGATCATCATCAATTCGATCAATTAGATCATCTTCTTTACATAAAATTTCTTCGAGTTAATTAAAGTATTTAATACATACATTAATTTACATTAAAATTAATTCCGTCACTAATCATTATAATATATTATATAATTTTTTTAAAAAATTAAATTCATACAATTAATTAACAAGACTATTTTAAAACTGAATGATTAACTCATTAGTAAATTTAAAAAGAAAAAAAAATTTTTTTTCTTTTTTTTTTACATTATATAATTTTAATTGAAAGATTTACATTACCTACCTGTTCTTAAAATAAAAGATATATATATTATATATAATTATATAATTTCTACTGGAGCCATATTGAAAGATAAGAAGGATGAACGATGAGGATTAGCCTTACCTGTGATTTCTTTCTTAAAGCCGAGTGAGATATTTCGTCTAAAATAAAGGTTTGTTTTTTGTCATCGGCGGAACTGGCCGCCATGTCCGCACTACATCATGCTCTTAACGACGCTAATTCTCAGGCACACCATCTGCGTATCGTACAGGTAATCATTCCAGCTGTATCCTCGGTTTTACTCTCTTCTACAGTATTTGCAGTAATGATGTATAACCGCTGATAATGTCAATTCTTTACAATGTTTTTGGAGAAGCGAGATCTGTCAACTCGCATCCTACTATCCCTTCACGCGCCAGTCCGAAGGGATCGTCTACTAAGATCATCTAGCTTTAAATTACTTTGAAAAAAATCCGACTTACATAAAAATAAATATATCATCCGACGATAAAACGATTAAATAGCATCAAAAACCAATACGTACAGTACAGTATGTTTCTTTCCAGTAGGCGTTTTGTATTATTTAATTTTTAAATCATATATCTAAATTTTAATTTTTTTAAATCAATTATATTTCATTTAATGTTTAATATATAATAGTTTACCGCATATATTTTCTTATTTATTTAATATAATTATTTAATTTAAATATCGTAATTCTGTAGTAGTAAACAGTCAAGCTCGACAACGAACAGGTGAGAATTGACGTCACACAGTGTTTTATCAATTCCGTACCAACTGCTGCCATCTAGTGTAGATAAGTAGAAGTAAATAATTGGTAGGAGTGTGTTACTTATTTGTTAATTGATAAGCCAACGTTTCGGTTATGTTTTTTTTTTTTAATTGGCGAGAGAATTAATTAAAGAGTAAGTTTTCCTATGTTTAAAACAATGCTCGAAGCTCGTATTAAATTTTTACGTATTTCGCATTTAACAATTTTTGAAGGCGCATTTTGAAATTGATTAATTTTTAGTGTTTTAAGATAATGAGTATAGAACACGTGATTACAATGTGTTTTTGTTGTAAAACCTTTTGTTGGTTATTCCTAAATGGTTGATTTGATTATTTATTATAATTAATGGCCTTTAATTAAATAGAAGTCGCGTGTTTAATAGTTTAAAATGCAAAAATACTAGAGAAATTTTATTTTTGTTTTTTAGTGTTTTCTACTTTAATTTCTGAGCATTTTTTAAATGAATTTTGCCAAAAGTTTAATTAATTTTACAGCATTTAAATAAGAAAATACATTTTATTTAACATCAGATTGTGTGAATTTCAATGAAACACTTTTATAATCTAATATGTCTTTTTTAATAATTACCATTAACTTTGATATTTTTATTTGATATATCTGTTTTAATTGTGTTTTTGAAGCAAAAAAAAGTAGTTGGAAAACACCAGTCTATAATATTATGCTATATTTGAGATCATTGAAAAAATTATTTAATCAAAAATATGATTAGTAATTAAACCAAGAGATTAACTTTTTCTCGTAGATATTAATCTCTGGCCAAAGGTAGCAGGATTTAAACTTTGGAAAGACAAAACATACATGATTTAGATCAACTAATCGATCGATTGATTCACTAAAATTGTATTTCTTAAATTGCAGTGATGTTAAGTCTTGAGACCATTGTAGTGATGTCTTCTTCTCGTCTCGGCCCTTGTTCTTATTATTATTTTTTAACTACTGTATTTAGCATTTTAAATAATTTTATAACAGTATCAGTATCAAGCACTTTGATATAAATTTTTCCTAAAATAAAAGTAGTTTGATGTTCCTTGAATATTTCAAATCAAATCATAATGAGAAGAATAAAACATACTTCTTATGAGGATTTAATAAATATTGCAAATATCTTTAGTCTTGCTATTGTTTTAGTTTCATAAATAATCTGTGCTGTAGGATAATTTTTTTTGTTGATTTAGCCATATATGAAACAGTCTGTTGCAGCAATATTCACTTTCTTGTCTTGCATTGCTTCTTGTCAACAGTGTGTATTTTTTCACAATAAAGTATTTTCTTTTTATAATGTATTTATGTTTTTAAATTATATTTTATGTAGAATTATGGGATAATTTTTAAATTCTTGCAGATTAAAAAGGCAGTGTCATATCTTATGCCTTAATCTTATAAGTTAGGGCGGGGATGGCCAACAGTTTTTGCCCCCGGGCCAAATTGGAAAGAAAACTTTTTTCACGGGCCGAACCAGAGGCTGCCCTAGGAAGATTTTGAGGTGGTGCGAGATCTCATTGGGGTGTCACCCCATAGAGACTAAATTGTACAGTACATAGTGATTACAGATACATTTTTTACATTATCATGCTTTATCAACATTCTACGCTGTACTTAAGATATTTGTAATGGAGGGTTAACACTAAATGCACAGTGAGTTGTTGACCTTTTTTTGTTTTTTTTTTTTTGTTTTTTAGGTGTCAGAATTTTTCATCAAGGTATTCGGACTTCAGAAGCTGATGTTGAAAGATTAATCGTGGGCCACATGAATTCATTAGACAGGCCGGATCCAGCCTGCGGGCCGTATGTTGGCCATGCCTGAGTTAGGGTCTTGTTTAGCATCACTGTTAAATAGACTTGTTTCTATTTATACTAGCTTTATATATGTTTTCAAGAATGAATAATAAACATGTATAAAAAAATCAGGCAATAACTTCAACTACCTTAAGATACATTATGTGGAATCTTCTAAATTGTGCAGCTCCTGCATTCATCTTCAAGCAGAACTAGAGGGACCACCTTGTGCATGAGGAGTTAGTCTCTCTAGTTATCCTTAAATTGTAGTAATACTTTAGTGTAACAAATTTATTCAGTGTAAATTTATTAAAATATATTTATTTTTACAAAATACTTTTCTGTATAAAATTGATTTTGAAAAAAAGCAGTTGTCCTTCTTGAGTTTTCCTTGTAAGTATTCATATCCCTGATTAGTATCTTCAAAATTACATTATATTTAACATTATGATAATACCTCTGATCTCGAGTCCTCTTTTTCTCGAGTTCTTCCTTGCATTGAATTGGATTGTTGATCCCAGTGAACACCCTATATAACATATTTTTATACTCCTTAAGTCAAATAAAATTTCAAGCATCTTGACTTTGTCTCTCTTTAGTTAAATGCAGCAGGTGCTGACCAGCTTAAGTTTATTAAGTTGGATATGAATCCTTCTAGTGCATTGTTTAGTAAGGTAGCTTGAATATAGCTGGATGAGTACGCCAATGACATAAAGTTGATAATTTAACAGAAAGTGTGTTTCTTGTATCATATCAAGCAGCTTAGAAGTTATGTTCTTTGCTTGATTTTTTTGTCACAGTGTGCTAAAGTTTATTTTAGTGTTTTGTTTTTAAATTTATGGTATTTATATACAGTTCTAATAATGATTCAAATAAATATCATGGACTTAAATGTATCACAAAATTGCATCCCTTATTCTACTGTTTTATGCTTTGTCTGAATAAAAATATTTTTGATTTTTTTAATATAGTTATTGCCATATGTAGGATTCACCATAACTCAAACTGGCCAAGTAAAACATAAAGCCAACATGTCTTTTGGTGTTATTTAATAATTAAACATAAAAATTAAAAAGTAAATGCAAGCATTTCTGAGAAAACAACTTTAAAACAAAGCATTAAAACTATTCTCTAACAAGATTGCATTTACTAGTATGATAACATTAAAGATAGATACTGAAGGATACAAAGAGATGACATCCATCTTTTTTTAGAAGTGGAAAGACAAAGGTGAAATGTAAGTTCTTATTGTATCTGAACCTTGGCAGTAGTAGAGGAATAACAAGATAAAATGATATTATCAAATTTCCCATCACAGAAATTCCCCAAAACCATGGACATGAGATATATAAGTGCATTCATTAATGAACAAAACTCAAAGCAGTAAGTAAAAATGTAGTTCCTGTTAAACTAACCACTTAAAAATTAAACTGATTAGCTTGAAAAGGTTTGGAAAAGTTTGAAAAGTTGTCATTTCCATTATTTTCAGCTAAAAGTATCAGATCTACAGTATACATATAAAGCTACAAGTTGGCATTGAAATGATTATAAGGTTCTTGCACCATTTACATTTTCTTCAATAGATTTGCAAAACATTGATTTCTAAAAAGGAACTAGTCATTGATTATGCCTGTCTCAACATAATGTTTCAATTTACATAGTTTTGTAGGTAGTGTGCTATTATTTCACTGCAAATGTACTGAATGAAGCATACTTCAGAGAATAATGGCTAGTACTTCCTCTTTACTTTTATTTGTTTAGCACTTGTATGAGTACTAAACAGTTCTTCAATTTCTTTCAAAATGACCTGTAAATTACTTATACTCTTTTCAAACTACCTGATTCAATTGTATATACGGTAAAGAAAGTATTTCACTAGAAATAAACAAAATAAAGATGTAGGCCTATCTTTTATTAAAAAGAGAGATTTTATGATCATAACTTCAAAGTTTTTTTTAGCTGCTAATATTGATTCTCTTATTTTCTATTAACCTCTTGTTTGAGTGTCAGAAAAGCAAAGAAAGAGCCCTTTCCAGCTTTTCACAGTAATAAATTTGATGAAGTTCATACTAGACATTTCCTTTACGTGAATTTATTTTATAATTACATTAAATAATAATAATTATTATTTTCAATTACAGAATTTCAAATTCTACCATGAAGTAGATGATGTGGTTCCAAATTAAAATTAGATTATTTCTAAGAAGATTTCATCAAAAATTTTTATCCGATATAAAGGATAAACCAATAGTAATATTTTTAATTGTATTTATTATCATTTGCATTCTTCTACCTCTTCGGTCACCTGCAGGAACAGGATATAATTATTTAACATTTCCAGAAATTAGGAATGATTTAGTTAAATGTGTTAATTTTAGTTCAACTTCTACACATCTTCAGTGTCCATCAATACCAGATAATTTAGGTAAATGGTTATCAGTAGTAAAAATAACTTTTTATTTTAATAATTAAATATTTTATATTTTCAATTATTTCTGTAGCCACCTTCAGATTTATATCCAATGTTGTATTATATTTATAAGCAATATTTGTTCTGTCTATTATTCAAAATATCTTTCTCTTAATAATCTGTATTGACAATTATAATTTTTAAATATACTGTTTATTACTCCACTCTACTATTATTATAATTTGCTTCCATATTTTCAAAGTTCTCATTTTATCTTTGAAAAGAATACATTAATTCATATCTAATATTAATCTGTTTTAAATCTGAAGAAGGTGATTTCATATTGAAAATGCTTATTAAAGATTTGATTAGTGCATTTAATCAATATATTTTTAGATTATTTACATTAAATAATAATAAATTTCACAAAAATGGCTTTATTAGAATAAAATTGAGATTATAGTAGTTTAACTTTGTTATAATAAAGAATTTTTTTTATTATTTTATTTTCTAAGAGAAAGTATCGATTTATTTATGTTTTCATTTATTTGTATTAAATTTGACTTTGTATATAAATTTATTATTATAAGCATACTTTTAATTTGTATAAAAAATAGGTTCTTTTACTAAAGTTCAGAAAGTAGTCAATGAAACCCTTTTAAGGACTTTATCAAAAAGATTAGAAATAAGACCTGGAGGATTGTGGCATCCTCAACATTGTCAACCTTTGTATAAAGTAGCTATTATTGTACCATACAGAAACAGAGAACATCATTTAAAACTGTTTTTACAACATATGCATTTGTTTCTTCAAGCACAATTATTAGATTATGGAATATTTATTGTTGAACAGGTAATATTTTTTTATTTTTGAATATTTTATAATACATTGCTATATTGGATTTGTTGTTACTGTATATATAATAATACATTAATGTTTGAAATTATGTTTTGTTGACTCCAACATTAAAAGGACATGTTAAAACAATTTTAAAATGAATAACTTGAAGATTTATTAATTATTACTGGTATTAATTAATAAATAATTTATCAGTTTTGTTTCTCTGCTATCAACTTGAACAAAAGTTAGAATAATGTCAGCAATTTAACATAGAAAAGATATATATAGTGAAACATGGTTGACAGTAAATTGTTGGGCTATTAAATTTCATAAATTTGAACCCGGTAGTGCTTTCAACCTTGTAGTGGAAGACTTGTTTCAGTGACAAATGAGTCATTAATTAAAAGCAAATTGACACAATAGTCATTTTTTTTATCAGTTTATCACCCAAAAATGGATAGCATGTAAGCCAGGAATCTGTAAAGAAAAGCAGCTTGCTCTGTTTGGTTATACAGAAGTTTGTTTTCGATGAGTGCCATGCATATCAATCCAGAAAACAAAAATATGTGGAGTATTGTGAAAAAGTTGTTGAAATACTGTTGTAAAGAGAGAGACAAATTTGTTTTGAATATTATTACTGGATATGAGTTATGGATCCATCATTTTGACTCTGAAGAAAAATGAAAGATCATGGACTAGTTATGATATCGCCAGATTTTTATTTGGGCTTATAATATGGAAAATTAATTAGTCTTAACCACCTGCCTTTAGTCAAACTTATGGACTAAAGATAGGTAGTTAAGACACCAATCTTGTATTAAATTTAATGATTAAAAACAAATTAATTTAGAATATTCTGTCAGAAAGATTGATTTGTGAGGGAGCTGTTGACTTTTTTGGGTGTGACTGTTCTTACTAGAAGGATTAGCACTCTTAATATGGCTATCTCTAGTCTCAATAGTATGGACAGTAAGTGTTTAAATCAAGAGGTGAGTCTTATCAGGCTCAATAGGAAAAGAACTGTGCCCGCAGAGAGGGTATAATTGGACTCAAACCTGTAACTTCTTACTATGCAGATGTGTTACTAATTATGTTACCTAGATTTCTGTCCAATCTTCAATTTTAAACCAATTAATTTAGAAGATATAATTATACAAGTCACTTTCATTGACTGGGAACCTGTGGCCTCTATGGCACTCAGCTGACTTAGCTTTTACTCCAGCACCTGGTATATACCAGATCATCATAATTATGTACAATAGGTGTTTAGAGCTCTCTGTAGAAAGAACTGGGCAAATCTGAACCAAATTTTGTATACATACTGTCCTGAGTATACAGTTTTGATTTTCAAGTGTGCACAACCGGTTTAACAATCCTAGCCTCATTCCATTCAACAACTGAACCATCTGTTTGTGCTACTCTGGATAGTGTTGTAGAATAGTGCCCTTTGTTTACATCATATATATGCTCCGTAAGCCTCTTGCTGAGGTTTCTGGTGGTGACACCTTCATACTCTTTGTTTAGATTAGGGGTCCCCAAACTTTTTATCCCTTCGACCCCTTTATAGAATATTTGCCTTCTTATCGACCTCCAGATTATGTATTTAACAAAAACATTAAATCATTTTTGCATTTCTGATGTTAAGCGATAAGGAGACCTGCATAACAACCCAACAAAAGAATTTATAGTTCCCATTTCTTATAAAATCCACCCAATAACTTTAACAGAAAAAGGAGATATTTTCCACTAATTTATAATCTTAAAAAATAATAGCAAAATTATGGATAGATGGAAATTTGCCTATAGTTCTTAAACCGTATGTGTCATAATACGTAAAATACACAATTAGTTTTGAAAACATAAGTTATATTGGATTAATAAAACCTCTTACTGTCATTTTGCGACTACTATTGAATGCGTTAAAAATATGTTAACATACCTTTTTATTAAAATAGTTGATATTAGTGAGATGGATGTGTCTGAAGAGAAGCAGCAAGATTATTGATATTCGGTTGAAAATTGGCAAGTTTTAGTCGCAAGTCACCGCGGTTTTCCGAGTTCAATCTGTTTTTCTGTTTTGTCAAAATTGCGTTCGCGTGGCTAAAATCAGCTTCAACTATATATGAAGTTGGGAATGCAAGTAAGAAAGATTCGGCTTCTGCTCTGAGCTTGGAATATTTAGTGGCAATATTGTTATTGTTCCAAAATTCACCGATGTTTATTTTTAAACAACGCTTTAGCTTCGAGATCTACACATATTTCAATCAGTACATCTTCTAAGCCAGGTTCACTACCTTCATTATCTATTTTTACATCAAATGGATTAGCGAACCATTCGGAAACATGCATATTCTCCGAGTCTTCGAAACGTGCTTTAAAGTCTTCTCTTAGATATAAAATACTTAGAGTGACAACCCTACTAGAGTGTAACTGTGCAACGTATGTCTGTGTATAATGAACTACCAGCGTTCATAACATGTTTGTAACACTTGTACAGTTGCCAGATGCGTGAAAACAGAGTAGCACATGCTTAAAGCGGCGTAGGCTAAGGCAAAACTCGAGTTATAACTAGGGTAGTTAGTCAGTAATGTTGTTGATCATATCCGTATTTCGAATTTTTATTGAAATATTCTATTTTTTTCCTAGACAGTTTAATTGATCCTCTTTGGTATTAATCGACCCCCTTTCGACTCTCGTGTATTCATCGACCCCTGGAGAACACTTTTCGACCCCAAGGGGTCGATATCGACCACTTTGGGGACCCCTAGTTTAGACCTAATTGATCATTTTTATATGGTATCTAGTATACTCTAGATTGTTCTTCCTTCTTAATCATATCTTTGTCATTTCTAAGCAAATTATGAACCATGGGAACTCTTTTGTACAGTAATCTTGTGTTCTTGAAGTCCACAATTTCTTATGAAGGATATTGCAGACTACAAGAACACAATCATCAATACGGTAAGATTATATGTTTATGTATAATAAATAAAGTTGTCTTTAGAAGATGATTATATTTTGTTTTTGTTATTTATTATATATTAATTACTGTATACATATATTTATTTCAGAGTGAAAAACATGATTTTAATAGAGGAAAATTATTTAATATTGGTTTTATAGAAGCTCTGAAATTATATGATTACTGCTGTTTTGTTTTTCATGATGTTGATTTGTTACCTGAAAATCCTCAGCATATTTACAGTTGTTCTAAACAACCTCGTCATATGTGTTCTGCATTAGATACATTCAGATATGTGTAAGTTAATTTTATATATTTTTATGCTGAATTTTAAAGATATTTACATAAATAATTAAGTGTACTAAAGTAAAAAAAAACTAAAATCAGAAAGAAACAATTTTTTTTAATAAAATTGTGTTCTCATATTGAAAGCAAGTAAAATCTTTTAGAAATAAAATTTAGAAAAAGCTGAAAATTATGAGTTAAATTCTATATTTTTTCTGTACTTTTTTCTAATTTTGATTATCAAACAGAATGTATGAATTTAAAAATTTTTAAATGAGCAGCAATATAGATTTTGCATTATTCTTCATAAGACTGCTTATTATGGACTCTAACATAATTGAACACTGTAAATGGAAACATTTTTGACAGATTTAAGTCAATATCAGCTGAAAATTTGTTAAAAATTTCCAAAACTTTGAATGCAGAAACAATGAGCAATTATTTATTGTGACATTGTCACAATGCCAGGCTGTAATTTCTAATTTATTTAATTTAAAATATATGCTCTCCACTGCAAATTAGTAGTGGCTTGCTCCTGTATGTCATACTTTTCCTTTAACAATAGAGTTGTGCCAGTCGTCTATTAAGATTTGAACTGAAATAATGTGACTTCCGATTTCCAAATCTTGTCTTGCCTTTCATCTATCTAACTTTGTTCTCCAGTCTAAGGAAAGACAGACAGACAGATGGAGAACTTATAGTAATTTATAGATCTACAATTTTTTCAAATTGCAGCCCAATTAGAACAAGAGATTTAAAATTTATGAATAGAATGTAATCAAACCTCTCCAAGCCATTAAATCCTAAAAAATTAAAAAACAATTATTTAAAAAACACCATATTAATCCTACTAATTAAGAATGTTTTAAGATAGATATGTTATTATATTATAAATTAACTGAGTGATGTTTGTTTGCATTATTCAATACTGATTTCCAGCAATCACTGAGGTTTACTGTGTTTACCAGGACAATTTTGAGAAAACACTCAACAGAAAATAAAGCGTACTAGGATAAGCACCTATGATTGAAAAGGCTAAATAAAGAAGTTAACAAGAAATAAAAATGAGTTAAAAGCAATTTTTAATAACTCAATCAACATACCTTATTATTAAGAAGTTATTAATATTTATCATTAGTGTAAACTTTATTTAAAAATTCTTTGTTACCTAAATCTGTACCTTTAAAATATAACAATATATTTGAATATTTGAAGATGTTCCTTCCACTCCTACTAGGCTTGCCTTATGTTTCACACATTTCAAGTAATTTTTAATATCCGAATGTCCATCCTGAGTTACTGAAAATTCTGAAAAGCACAGTTCACATTTCACTGTCAATACGATCACAAACTTTTTTATTTTTTACTTTATCAGTAAACACTTTCTTTTTGGCATTTTGGAGATTAAATTAACTTAATGTACAGTACAAAATAATCACAAATGCCGACTAGCAATTTGAACTCGACTAAGATAGGACATGTGCAACAATGATGTAGTCAGTGTAATTTTCAGTATTATTAACTCTAACTGAAACAAAATATCTAAAAATTGAAATAAAAATGTCTGGATCTCATAGGCTATACGCTATTATAAATTCTGGGAAAAAATATCTTGATGAAAAAATACAACATCTAAACTCAATAGGCCACATGCTATAAATTTTGGGAGAAAACATCTGAACAATATTAAAAGTACTGTACTTAGATCTAGATACAAAATATTTAGATTGGCAACAGTGAGTGTAACAGAGGAGACATTTTAGTTGCCAAATTGCCATTTTACCTGAGGCAGCACTATTTTTACTTCTTGTATATTTGGCACTTTTAAAATTTTACCAAGTAACCAGAACAAAATGACAAACTGACCGAAATGCAGGAACCATATCATGAAACTAGGACAGTCCCAGTCAAAGTGGGACATCTGGTAATCCTACCTTTAGGTATTCAGATATGTAATGTATGTAGATTTATTCCAACCCTCTTATTGGAGATCCTTCCTGATACTCTTTAATTGGTGGTAGTTTGTCCCAAACCCTACTTGTTTTTTATCACAAATTCACTGTGCAATGGATGTGGTATTCTCACCCATGTTTTCTTTGACCCATGTTTGTAGCAATCATATAAATTAAAACTTCTAAAACTAAACAGGAAGGATGCTTCCTGTTTAGTTGTTTTAGAGTATATTTATATCTGACTTATATAACCTCCCTATGCTGTTCTTATCACTACAAATGATGATCATTACCATGCAGAATCTTATTCCTAAAGTAAAGCTGCATTTTTTTGGTATATAGTGCAACCAACCCAGCCATACACTTTCCTGTAATCACTAGTACTTGCTGTGTATCCCTCTCCCTTGGATTATCTTGATTCATTATTGATTTGCATTTCAACTTTACTTGTGTTGCTTTAATGATATTATTATTAATACCTCTAAGTAAACCATGACTTCTAGCAACATTTCTGATAAACAGAAATTTCAACTCTGTATATGTACTGCAAAAGATGAATGTGTAAAGACTCTTCTTTGATGGACACTAATTTGTTCTATAACATCATCAATTTTAGTTCAGAATTTATATATTCATAGACTTCTAGAAACTGTTTTTAAGTTTTTTTTTCCAAGAGAGAGATATGTAGATTCATTATGCTAGGTAAGAAAATAAGTTGTGGCTCTTGGGCAATAAAATTTGCATTTCAGTTGAAATTTGTATATAATTAATACATTCTTTGAAGATGGATATACAGTAGAGCATCAATTATCTGACCCCGATTAACCGTCACATCAGTTAACCGACCATTCTAATCGGCAAATTTCAAATGTCCGCTAGTTATGTGGCATTACAATATTTGGCTATATCTTGGCTACTTTAATATTATTTTTGTTAAATATTTGCGTGTTTTAGCTGGCATCAATGGCTCGACCATTGAAGGGAGGCCAATATTTAAATGAGACTTAATTTTCTAATTATGAGTGGTTGTTTGTTTCGTGAGCAATAAAATAATTTAAAAATAATTTTTAACAATACAATAGCAATGATTATTATTTAAAAAAAAAAAATTGTTAGGCTAAACATCGATGAAAATTCAACGTGAAGTTGGTTAATAGCGATATACTAATAAACTAATTACATGGGATATACTAATATCCTAATATACTATACTAATAATGTATTTTTTTCCTTCTTTTCAGTTATCCAATTTTTCAGTTATCCAACCAACCCAATTGAGTCGGGTAATTGAAGTTCTACTGTAGTCAATACAAAAATATTAATTTACATATTGTGTTTACAAAGATTGTTTTATCATTTTTGTCCAGTTTAGCTAATTTGGTATTATTATTTGTAACAAATGATTCATCTTTAAATAAAAATGTTTTTACAAATTTAGACTTCCTTACAAAGATATATTTGGAGGTGTTGTTGCATTCAGTAAAGAACAATTTATTAAAATAAATGGCTACAGTAATAATTTCTTTGGATGGGGAGGAGAAGATGATGATTTGGCTGATAGGTTTGGTAACTTTTTTATCTGTTAATTTTATTATTTTTACAAAAAAAGACTAATACCTTATAATTGCATTTTAGATTAAAGTCAAAGGAATTAGAAATTACTAGATGGGAACCAAAAATATCTCAGTTTACAATGATTTTTCATAATAAGGCGGTTCCCAATCCTGAAAGGTATGTTATTTTATGCATTACTGCACAATTAAGAAAAATTATACTAACACTTAAATTTTACAGGTTTAATCTTTTAAAATATGGAAAAGAAAGATTTGAAAAAGATGGATTAAATAGTTTGCATTATAAAGTTTTAAAATTAGAATTGAAAAATCTTTATACAAGGATAGTAGTAGATGTCAAACCTTGACATCTGCTAATGTTTTAATGATAATTCTTGAAGTCCAATGTAAAAAATATATTATTTTATTTACAGATAAAATTTTTACAAGAATGAAATAATGATGATGATGATACATACTTTTGTGCATATATTTCTTTGAATAAATTAATAAAATATGTTACATACAGATTACAAAACTTTTGCATTAGTTTTCAACATTCTGTTGTTAATTCACTATTTTCTAAACAATTTCTTCATTACAATAAATAAATAGAAGTCTTTGAATTATATAAATATAATAAACTGCAGTGAAATCACAGTTGATAATGAAACATGCTAGTATAACATTTAATGGCATATATGAAAGAAATTACTTTGTCCAAGTACATTAACTCTGCAAAGATGCTTTAAGCCACTGGAAAAAAAAATGTAATAAGTTATAATTGTATTACAAATTCTAAAATTTTATTTTTATATATCAGAATTATCCATAAATCAAGATACAGTAGACCCCCCTATAACACAGTAGATACGTTCCGTGTTATATGAATTTCGTGTTGTATGAGTCACTTAGATTTTACATATACGTGAGCCGTTCACATCCCGGCACTTGTGCAGTTTAGGGGGTACAACTGTTTGAAAGGTTTTCTTCCATAAAATTAATCGATTCTAGGCTAATTTGACTCGAACATTTCCAAAACACGTATAATTTTTTTTCAGAATAATTTATATAAACTACGCTATAAACAAAAAATTGTAAAAATACTTAACGAGTGCACACTGTTTGACGATGCCATTGCTTAAGCTCATTTTTGTTGCGGAGTGGCTCATCAGACAGTGGTCACGTGTTTCCCGATAAGTTATTCTTTCTGTGAAAAATTCACTGAACTTTGGAGACATCATTAATAGAAATATAATTTTTATGGCCGTTGAATAATAAATGTTTTTTTAGTAGGTCCGCTGCATGTTTAAGCTCAATGGTTTGTGCAATGGCCACTGTTGTTCCAGTTTCGACCAATCCTGTCGAGACACAAGTCAGCCATGACACTCTGTCTCATTCTTTTACCGTGTTATATGAACCTCTTTTAGAGTGTTATACGAACACAATCGCAATTTTTCTGCTGTGTTATACGAATCTGTCTTATATGAACCCGTGTTATAGGGGGGTCTACTGTTATTGAAATATTCACATTATATATAGTACAATCTGTAAAAGTCAGAACTGCACAGTACTCTAATCTTTCCAGTTTAAACAAGAATATACTATGTTCACATTTTGAAGTAGTGAACATGTCTTGGTTGAAGCTTGACAAGTATTTTACTATAGATATATTTATTGAAATTAGGGGTAGGTAGTTCTGGAGGAATAGTTCCACACCAAGTGTCGAGACTGTTCTGGTAGGAATTATTAAAGCATTCATTCTGTACTTTTACAAATATAATTTTCCACAGAACAACGAATTCTTTATCTGAATTTGAACTTGAACTAATGAAAATGTTCCATAGATTTTTAGGAAAAATCAAATTTACACAGATATTTTAAAAATTTATATTTTTATTAGAGTTTGTAATTATTTGTTTTATTAGTAACCACAAGATTTGTCTGGTACTGCCCATCCAAACAAGAAATGACTAAACATTAAAATGAAAACCATATTACAAATTTGGTTTTTTTAGCTTACAATTGTTGTGTTTATCATGAAACATCGAGGAGATCAAATCAGGGAAAGAGTGGGGTTTCTGGATTTCGTGATATTCTATATTTTCCCCAGAGTCCCAGAGAATAAGCTTGAAAAATTTGGTGAAGCTCGGACATGGGTTTTAGGGGGATCAAATCAGGAGGGGTAAGGTGTCCAGGTTTTGTGATAGTCTATATTTTCCTCAGATTCTGAGTTAAACAAGAATAATTTGAAACAGATTGACCAGAAAACAAAGAATAGAAAGACAAACATTTTATATCCTATATAAAGCCAACAAGGGACTGTCTAATCCAACAGACTAAGCAATTCCAACATTTCATAATGATTCCAAAGAACTGTCTAGCCTAATTGTTCCAACGAACTGCCTAGCTTAACAGTTCTGACGGAACAGTCTACCCTAACTGTTCCAGCAGTGAAACTGGATCTCTCACCTCTAATTAAAATTACCTCAAAATAAAAAAACAGAAAATAAAATTTTACTTTATTTTTGAGAAAATATACAGGAACGTGTAAATGTCTATATACTAATCATATCTATATATATAACCCATTCCACTGTCCGTCTGTCCCGTAACCGTTTGAAAACGGACACTAGAGGCGCCCCTATCGTGTGTCATATTTCAAACATTCAAATTAACAATTTTAATTATTATTTAAATGAACAATATAAATTATTATTATTCATTTGGCCAATAAATTATTATTTGGTCAATATAACAATATAAATAATTCATTATATTTGTAATAGGAATGTATTATTGTCACGGAATGTCTGTAATGTTCACTAGGGGGCGAATAATGAAAAACCGGATAGATTTGAACCGCTACGATAAAACGATAAGGTTTAAAATAGTTAAGCTTATATTTTAATATATAATAATAGAAACCTTTCATGGCACGACCAAAGAAATACGCCACTGTGGAGGAACGTAAAGCTGCCGCTGCTGCAAGACAAAGGGAGAGACGTGCGCAGGAAAGATTACAGAGAATAGCACAATCAACACGTGGAGGCTTGCAGAATGAAACTGATGAGCTGAGATCTGCAATGTTGCACAGGCAGGCAGAAGCAAAACGACACAGAAGACAAAATGAAACTGATGAACTGAGATCTGCAAGGTTGTACAGGGAGACAGAAGCAAAACGACATAGAAGACAAAATGAAACTGATGAGCTGAGATCTGCAAGGTTGCACAGGGAGACAGAAGCAAAACGACATAGAAGACAAAATGAAACTGGTGAGCTGAGATCTGCAAGGTTGCACAGGGAGACAGAAGCAAGACGACATAGAAGACAAAATGAATCTCATGAACAACGATCGGCTAGATTAGAGCCACGCCGACAGCAAAAAGCCAATGAAACTGAACAGCAGCGATCTGATAGATGCCACCTTCAAACAGATGCAGAGAAAAATGCACGCCTAGCATTTAAGAATGCCTCAGTGAATGCTGAAAACAATGATTTTGATTTTCCACAGAATTATCTTGGGCCAATGGACATCATTTGTAAACATTGCCTATCACTTAACTTTGAGGGGGAGAAGACATGTAATCATCACGATCAATTCTCAAGATGTTGCCAGAAGGGGCAAGTACAACTGTCTAAGTATAAGCCTTACCCTGAAACATTTCGGTGCCTCTTGACTGGTGAAGGTCCTGAGAGCAAGCATTTTATGAAATGTATTCGATCTTACAACAGTTCATTTGCATTTGCATCTACAGGTGCCAATGTGAAGCCACCTGCTGGAAATGGACCCTACTGCTTTCGAGTGTGCGGACAGATAGTACACCGAACTGGAACACTTCACCCGAATGAGCAAGAACAGAGGAAGTTTGCCCAAATTTACATTCTTGATTCAGATGAAGCAGCACAGCATCGCATGAGTCTCCCCGAAAATAAACATTGTAATGAAAAAATCATGAGGATAATTGGAGAGGTAATGCAAAACAATTCAATAGCACAAGCCCTCAAGATGTTACATGAGGTTGAGAGAGAAGCAATTGAGAAGGCAGAGAATGAAGGAATTGAACCAACTAAATTGGCATTAGCCATTGTCCATGATAAAAAAAATGACAAGAGAAGATATAATAGTCCAACTGGAAATGAGGTGGCAATTGTCTTCCAGACAAAAGATGGAGAGCCTCCACTTCAAAGAGATATAATTATACATCTCAGACCTGATTCTCTAAACCCAAATGGAGGGATACAACGAGTAAGTATACTACACGAAAAGCTGGATGCATTGACATACCCCATACTGTTTCCTGGAGGAGACGACGGATGGACAACCACAATTGCAAGAGTAAAGAAGAATGGGGCACAGACACGAGAAAGAATAAGTATGAAGGAATATTTCTCTTACAGATTGTCTCCTCGATATGATGAATTTAATCCGATATTGAGTGCGGGAAAATTGACACAACAATACATGGTGGATGCTTATGTGAGAGCTGAGGCGAATGACTTGAACTGGGTGAAAAATAATCAGTCAACATTGAGATCAGAGAAATATAATGGTTTAATGGATGCGATAGAACGGGATGAGGAAGTTCATGGGAGTAATAACCTGATAGGAAAAGCAGTTATACTGCCTTCAAGTTTCCAGGGTGGAGTACGAAACATGCAGCAGTATTATCAAGATGCTATGGCCATTGTCACAAAGTATGGAAAGCCTGATTTATTTGTAACAATGACTTGCAACCCAAAATGGAAAGAAATAACTGAAAATCTCAAACCTTGGGAAAAATCTGAATTCAGACCTGACTTGGTCGCACGAGTATTTCACTTGAAACTTAAACAACTTCTTGATGACATTACAAATAGGCGTAAGTCATTATTTGGGAAGGTTCTTGCACATGTGCATGTTATTGAGTTTCAGAAGAGAGGTCTTCCACATGCACACATTCTGATCATCTTAGACACGGACGAAAAAATTACCACTCCTGAAGATATTGATAAAATTGTGAAAGCAGAGATTCCAGATAAAGAGACTTCGCCACGACTTTTTGAAATAGTCACGAAACATATGATCCATGGACCATGTGGGAAGAGAAACCCTTCAAGTCCCTGCATGGTTGACAGTGATTGCACGAAGAACTTCCCAAAGTCCTTCTGTGATGCTACGCTTGGAAATTTGGATG